CAATCAGGGAACTCACTCATCACATCAAAGGCAGGTATGAGACTCTCAATGGAGTCTAATTGACTCAAGAAAGAGCCAATCAGGGAACTCACTCATCACATCAAAGGCAGGTATGAGACTCTCAATGGAGTCTAATTGACTCAAGAAAGAGCCAATCAGGGAACTCACTCATCACATCAAAGGCAGGTATGAGACTCTCAATGGAGTCTAATTGACTCAAGAAAGAGCCAATCAGGGAACTCACTCATCACATCAAAGGCAGGTATGAGACTCTCAATGGAGTCTAATTGACTCAAGAAAGAGCCAATCAGGGAACTCACTCATCACATCAAAGGCAGGTATGAGACTCTCAATGGAGTCTAATTGACTCAAGAAAGAGCCAATCAGGGAACTCACTCATCACATCAAAGGCAGGTATGAGACTCTCAATGGAGTCTAATTGACTCAAGAAAGAGTCAATCAGGGAACTCACTCATCACATCAAAGGCAGGTATGAGACTCGCTNGACTAAAAATTGCTGAAAATGACCCACTGCTCTCAAATTCCAGGAATTTTTCCTGCACTTATCAACCATACTTACCCCCAGTTATCACTGACTTAGCACACAAACTTAGCACCAGTTATTTCTTCATCAGTAACCATCCCACTAAGCATCATTTAATGACTCAATTAACACCAGTTATCTCGCAGGTTTTAAGTTCATTTTTATACCCTCACACGACAAGTAGTGGACGGTTTATAGGGATCTGCCTGTACATTCATTCATTTGTATGCATGCATGTGTCCCAAACGGCATCACCGCTCTATAAAGTTTACATATAAACTTTCTGCAGTCAACTGTTTCTATCAAAAGAGTTAATTGATAGAAGTTGTTCTACAGACTTCATTTCTTTTCCGATTGTCACAAAACTTCAAAAACATGTTCACAGTCATCACCTTTTGTATGAGCTTGTGTTTCGTCCTTCCGAGGTCAAAAATTAGTTAAATGTTACTATAAAAATTAGTTCAATGTTACTATAAATAGAGTTTGATAGAATTTTGGACGTCACCACTCTTCAGGCTTCATTTCTTTTCCAATTGTCACGAAATGTCACATACATGTTCACAAGCATCACCTCTTGAATAAGTTCGTGTATAAATCTTCTGTGGGCAAAATAAGGTCACTATTACTATAAATAGAGTTTGATAGAAGTTGGTCTACAGACTTCATTTCTTTTCCAATCGTCACAAATTTTCACAAACAATTTCACAATCACCTCATGTAAGAGCTTGTGTTTTGACCTTCTGAGATAAAAAAATGTTTAGGTCAATGTTACTTTTAAATAGAGATTGATAGAAATTGCTCTATAATCGTAACGAAACTCTGCACAGATGTTCATACACACCTCCCCTTGTTTGTGTTTCGACCTTCTGAGGTAAAAGAAACTTCACATTTCTTATAACTTTGAAGACTGAGGGTATTCGTATCATCTGTGATGCCTCGTTTGTTTTAGTGTTTCCTTTCTAAGACTCCATGGTAAACCTCTTTATACTGCCAGCCTTGTTTTTCATCAAAGATGGCAGTATAACAAGGTTAAATCCCAGTTTAAAATATACTTCATAAAACATTCAAACAAAGTATAAGATTGGCTGCATGGGGAAAAGTAGTCACTTCTAATTTCAGCCTTTATTTCTGTTTTTATCAAAACAAAAAAACAAAAATGATGAATATGTAAATATTTCAGTATATCCAGTCTTGATAGCACATCCATGAAGTTTAGTAATCATAAGTTACAAACTGGACAAGATGTTAACAGACAGACATACATACAAAAAGACAGACGGATGACAAAATCATTGACTACATCCCTCTATTTATGTATGTTAAGACTTTAAAAGGTCAGTCAATACCACTTTTTTTTAATTTGCTGTCCCTGCATGTAGGCCGTCAACACCCCTTTTAGATAGAGAATCATGTGAGCTTACATAAACCAATCAACTTTTGTCTATAATAAGGACAAAGTCCTGTCAGTGGTCAACCTTGATAAATAGTAGAAGGACATTAAAGAAGGTATTGGTCAATCATCATCAAAGCATTGGTGGTCACAATCTAATCACTTAGTTATACACGAGAAAATCCACTCCACTCCGATACAAGAGGTCCCTATGGCTCTCCAGAAACAATCACGGTGTCGCAATCTGATCACCACGTGTCAGAGTTATTAGGATATGCACTGCTTACATAGTTCTCCTTCACTCTCTACGGACAGAC